TTTTTTTTTTTCCAAGAGCAGTTCAGTAAGATGTGCCTAAAAACACTAACAGGTTCCCACATGAGACAGTAACTAACTAAACAGTAAATAAGGCATAATTAAAATAGAGGCAAGATACTCAAAGAGTGTTCACCTAGGAAGGAAAAGCTATAGCTATAGTTGCTTTTTAAGAACAACGGTGGGAGAACAGGAAAAGCGAGTAAGGGTACCCATCCAAACATGAAGAAGAGCCCCTCCGGGCACCTCTAGGGACTCAGAAAGGAACGCAGACTCACACGGGAGCAAACAAGCCAGTGTGTGTGGTGAGCTCCTCTGGGGCACCTCTAAGAACTCAGAAAGGAAAGCAGACTCACGCAAGGAGGAAACAAGTCAATGGTTCTGCTGAGCTGGTGGATTCTGTTTACTGGAATTGTCTCTTCGTTTCCATAGTCAATATAGGAGACATGTGCCATCTTCTGCTGCACATCAACACCCTGTATCACGACTCGGTTCCAGGTCTACAGGTGAGAGAAACGGCAACCGTGCTTCACAATGGCCTTTCACAAGCCTGGGCTTTTAAAAAACTCTCAACCAACCTACAGAACATGGCAGAGAGAGGCACTCAACTGAAAGCCCAACTTACTTCACTGAGAACGTCACTACTAAGTCCCTCAAACTGTCTAATGAGGACAGTAAGATGGATCAAGACTCCAAAGCTATTTGAGCCCAGTAGATTCTAGCACACAACCAATGCCTCGGCTGCACCAACAAACACAAGCTCCATGACTAGCGATGTGCTGACAACCCGGTATTTGGGAGCCTATCAGCAGCCCTGGAGAGGACCAGCGCTGGGGGTCAGGGTGGGACAGTTGCCAAAGACAGCATGGAAAGGTGAGGATGAGAAACTGGAGTGCGACCAGTCTGGGTTTAAGCCACCTGATGCGTCCTTAAAAGCTCCAGTGTTGATGAGCTGCTGAGACCAAAGTAAATTAAAACATTTTATTAAATATTTCATCAGGGGTTACCTGATCAACAGTGTACTTGGCGACACATACTTCCCCCTTCACAGGAATATAGTCTTCTTCAAGCAGCTTTGCATATGTTTCTTTTAAGCTCACAGAAAGTTGGTTCATGTATTCTACGACTTCTGAAGAACATAACTGCACATGAAAGTCACCCGGGTGTTTGAATTCTGTAACAGCACCCTTTCAAAGACAGAAAAGATGTAATAACTCAATGGGAACATAAAGCAAGTGTGGTTTCTTTAAAGCTTTATAATGAAGATACAAAAACTGGTGTGGACACTTAGTCACGTAACATATGGCAGCTACCATAGAGACTCAAGTCAAAAATGGGAAGGCAGCAACCTAGAGGCCCTTGGATTTCTATGGAGATTAAACAAATACCTTTATTTCCGTAGTTTTCCTGAGCTGTAGACTTCTCAAATCAGAAAACATGATTTTCTCAGCACAGAGGGTTGTTTCTTTACTAACTCCAAGTGAACAGTCAGCCTGGGTTGAAAAAACATGTATGTAAATTACTATCAGCACCTGTTTCAAAGATACAGTGGCCACTGTTGCTGGAATGGAGGCCACAATCACCTGGCTTGAGTGAGAAAGCACAGAACAGTGAAAGCCCCTCCAAGAGCCACTAGAATCCACTGTCCATGGTCAGGGTACACAGCACTGTGGCTCACCCCAACCATCGGGTCAGGCTGGCAATGCCGACGTGGACTTTATATAAGGGGCCAGTCTTTTAAACATGAATCTGGTAAACTCTTTGTCAGAATGAGTATTTGTGGAGGTTGGATTTTTTCCCCCTTTTGAAAGAAAGAGGCCAGAAGCTAGAGAAGGCTTAAAATAATCTATAAATATGAGTTGGACAGATCATACAGTCTGAATGATATTTGCAGATTACAAAA